TCAGAATTTTTCGCTTTGTTGCAAACAATTTTTGTTAGTACAACAGCCTGGCATGTCTGCGCTGTGAAATACGTTACGTGAAAAATCTAATTTGCATTGCGGAAGTGCTGCCATATTGTGTGCTACAACATGAAAGCTCTACACGTCGTCAGTTGGATCACTTTCCTCTTAACGGCCACGGCCTCGCCGGAGTTACCTTCAAAAGGTGAGTAATACAGAGACTAATTTTAATGAAACTTTTACGGTTTGTGGCAATTTTTCCAAATTCTTTTTTTTTTTCGTCGGTCTTTTTTGGTTTCCGCTTCCAAAATAATAAGTATAATTATTAAATTATTTTCAACTACCACTTAATATTAGCTTGTCAACGTTTACGGTTCTATACTTAAATGGAGGATAATTTATCATAATATTTGCTAACGTTTAAAGCTTCATATTAAAGAGTGTAAAGAATGTTTTCTCAAATTGAACTGGTCATTTATTCAGTTTTTTATATTTTTTACCGGGCTTAGGTCGTTTATTTAACACATAACTTTATAAAAATGTTTTTTAAAATAGAATAAAAATTTACACTTTTAAATATTTATGTTAGTTATATTCAATTTTCAAACAAAATTATTTTCATCACAAATATTTCAGTCTAATTCATAGACCACCTTCAGTTTATAATAATAATAAATAAAGAAATAATATAAATATTTAAATATATATAAATATACATATAAACATATATCGTAAACAAAGGACCAAAAATGACAAACATTGTTGTCTCTTTCAATGTTTGACATTTTTAACATTTAAATTTATTTAATCAACACCAAAACATACATTAGGATGAATGACATCCTCAGCGACCTCAAGATTAATCCGATCCTAAAATACATAAAGGATAGAGCCCTGAAATTTGCGAAAACTGAGAGACTTATCAACACCGCGTTATTGAATCACAAAATGGTTACAGACTTTTCGGGGAGGTGTGCAGATCTGAAGTCAATTATTGCTTAGTCTGATGAAGTGATAAATAATAATCCAGTCAAAGAGTAAAAGTGCTCAATTGCACTGGCTCAAAGAGCTTCAACATAAATAAATAAAGCATAGATTCAAAACATAATTAAATTTGAAATAAAGATCAAAAAGGAAAATTTTTAAGTGAACAAACAATGGAGGATAAGATATAATTTTAAATTTATTAATTATATAGTAAATTTTTCTATAATTTATCAGAGATCAGTACATTTGTGCAAGACCCTCTGTGTCTTTTTTGTAGTTTAGTCTCTGCTTGTCCGCAACTTCAGATATACGTAACATTTCCAGCATTAGTCTACGTCTATAATTTGGCTCGTTGTTGATGATCTGTACTTCTTCAAAATTTAGAGTATGATTCATCATAGAGCAATGGGTAGCTAATGCTGTCTTTTCATCATTGGGAGTAGATCTGCTCATGTTTGTGACCGCCGATGCTCGTTCTAAGCTTATTTTTTGTTGTACCAACATATACCTGTTGGCATATGTTAGACCTGTCACCTCCACATGGTATTTTGTATACGACATCATACTTATATAATTTGTCCATTGGAAATTTTGTTGTGTTAGAAAAAATGATTTTTATGCGTGTTTCTAGCATTGGAAGCCAATGTGTGCGTGTCTTTATTATAATATTTGGATTTGTTGAAAAACCCAAGAATATACGACATAGGAAGATAAATTTTTGATTGGGGTTCGGATTTTATTTTACGCATTGTATTCCCTTATTTTAGAAGAGAATATGCCGTCCGTTTTGGATAATCATTTTTAAACAAGATGACAATTAGAATTTTTTCATTTTCTTTATGAAAAATTGGATCGCTAATATTCCGTAGACGTCAAATCAAATTCAGAGCTGTGTTCTGAATTATATGATGAGGGTGTTGCGAGTTTAAAAATAAATATTAATAAAAGGAAAATATTTCGAGCAGTGTTTACAGTAAACACAATGAAAGCTTTCTTATATGGACTAGCAGTTCTGTCCAGTTAAGAGAAGTGTCCAGTAGTGAAAAGAACTATCTATTTAAAAGCAAGTACTTTATATTAAAATTATCTAAAGTTGAGCAACATTCCAGTAGTAAGCCGAGCACTTTATTAACACTATTAATACAATTAAAAGCAACTTCTTACTTTGCAAGTGATACTTCGTTTTAAATTACTATGCCATCACAAGTAAGCGTTTAGATTTCGCATGAAATACATTTCAAATCATTGCTCTAAGTGGATATGACAAGAATTGTAAACTTTTCTACTTTCAAATTTTATGCTGATCACTTGCATTTGAGATTAGCATTAAAAATTTTTTATCGGAATATAAATGAAGAAGAGGCCCCCTTCTTTAATTCACTCGGCAATATCGTTAGCCAGATTCTTGTCTTTGTAAATTTGTAAATACCTCTGGCTGGTTCTAGTTTCTCTCTACTACCCACTATTGCGAGGTTTTTGTGGATTCAAAACGGTTTTTTAGCTAATTAAGGAGGACTTGTCCTCCCTCCACCACAACTAACTAACTAACCGTTAATGCTTGTAATAAACACAGATTTTACCGTTTTGCTATCAATCCATTGGAAAACCTAATACATTCTATATTCTATAAACTTACTGTGTTTGCTGAACAATTTCTTTAAACCCAAAAAATATGTACATAAATAAGTAGTGCGTCTACAATGAAAGTTGGCACCTCCTGTAACCAGTCGCTGTTATTTAACAGTGCGTTAGAAAAGACGCCTTTGATGTAAATTTAACATTGCTCTGTAGAATCTCTTCTTTCGTACACGATAAAATATCTATTAAATCCTAACTATGCTGTTATGTTGAGGTGGTTGCATTTTGCATTTGTCAAAAATTTAAATTAATATATCAACTACTACGAATAAATATATTTAAAATTAACTTAAGAGCAAATTATGCTTCATGCACTTAAAATATAATTAAAATCAGTCACGCAATATTTACTACACTAGATTTCATTAGAGTTTTTATTAATAAAACAAGTGTGACAGAAACCATAGAAACATTGTATTACATTGTTGCTGTCACTTTTTATTAATAGTTTGTCACATTCCGCTCTCACCTTTGGCCAGAAAAGTATGTATGAGATCTTAAAGGGGCACCTACATAGATGATGCTACTAAAGGTCGAAGAGGAATAATGCCGAGTCTTGATATTACGTCAAAATATGTAATGTGCTTAAATACATGTATGTAAGTCTCTGAACAAATGCATATATATATATATATATATATATATATATATATAATACATCTATAAATGTATATAAATTTACATAAAATACATACGTTTGTAATATAAACATATAATATATGCAAGAATACATTTCTATAAAATACATGTGCATGGATTGAACTTAACACCTTTCATTTTAATAATATCTTTACAAACAGAATAGTATTGAAATGTCACAATTAAAAATAAATCTAATTAATTAACTGAATTATTCTACAGTTGGTTTATGATTTCGTTCTAATATAAACGCAGTAAGTGAATTTATTAATAAAACTTTCACAGCAAATTAACAAAAACTCCAGAAAAATGTAAGAACATAAATGTCAAGTACAGCTATGTGTCGGTTAGCTAATGAACACTAACTCTGAGCTTCAATTTGGCAGGGCACGAGTTCACACTTGGGGCAAGTAACCACTATTTCACAAAACCTCTTTACCTTCGATTTTAAAATTTTTTTATGAGCTTCTTTTTTAATATAAAAATACCAACACCTCAAAAAAATTTTTTTGAATGGACTCTAACAGCTGTGGGATATTCTCACTTTGTAAGAATAAAGATTTGTTAAAGTATATTTCAAATTACACTCCCTAACAGTTTTTTCCTTGTAGGCCGTAGGCTTCGCAATGAGACATACTGATCTAAATAGTACGTGGATACTACAAAAATAATTATTTCAATATTTTGCAATCATACCTAACTGACCATTATTTTTAAATTCGGTATGAAGACGTAAACTCTTCTCTAAGAGAAAACTACTGGAACATAAAATACTACAGCATTTATAGTATCATATACTTTTGATTGTACAATATTTATTTTACTTACTCTTATTTATTAACTTTTGGAAGATTGAACTTATTTTGACTACAAATTACAATATATTTTATTTTTATATATTATATAATAATAATCGTAAATTTAAGCCCTTATAGTAGAATGTTTAATATTTATTAACTTACAAATTAGTAAGATCATTCATTAGTAAGATCATAAGATCATGTTATTACGTTGAATAAACAAACTTACAAATTATAGATTCGTTATTGAAAATATATTATTTTGTTATAATGGATTACATATACAACTTAGTTTACAACGGTACATTTTTTTATAATTCAAAACATATATGTTGATATGTACATAATGTATTTATAATATACATTTGCGTTGATCACATCAGAAGTAACTATTGTCTTGCTACTAAACTGTTAATATGAGTTACAAAATCATCCACACAACGATTATTCTTTGAATGAAAATGAAGACCGCTTCCTAAATATTTGCTACATATAATCAAAAACAACCTAAAGTGTTCCAAAAGTGTCATATCAGGAATTCTTTTGAAACCACACCACACCTGTATGCGTGTGAAAGATGATCTAATGATTACAGCAAATACCAAGGTAAGTAGATGTAGGTCCGAGAATGGAATTGACCACATAGTTATACAACTTTTATAATGCCGTGAACATAAAATTAGGAAAATCGCAATAAGATTGCAGTAAGGTAGTTGAGAGATGGATATATGGATGGACAGTTGCTTTAAACATCATCTAAAGCAGCACAAACCACATTAAATAATCTTTACAAAAACGTGAGCATCACAAATGCATATATGCACATATATATAAATATATATATCGATATATATACATAATAAGATAAATAAAAAACTTATTTATATACGTATATAATTTTGAAACATATTTACAGTAAAGAAAAAAATGATGAATTTACTCCTGATCGCAACTGCCATCCAACCAGCCATCCTTCCAACGCTCAGCGACCTTACTGCAATCGTACTCTGGTTTACCCAACTTTTTATTCACCGCATTATGAAATATGCATAACCACATGTTCAAATCAAGCCTTGAACTCACTTGGACTGGATTAGATTCCAGGTATTTGAGGTAATCAGCACAGCATGTTACACACGGATACATGTGAGGTATAGCTTCGTAAAAATTCCTGGCCATACGCTTTTGAAACACAGTAGGTCGTTCTGGATAATACGCAGCGAATGAGTGCATAATACTCCATGCGGCTAACCCCATTTTCGCCTTGTTCATGGGACAATCCTCCCGTAGGTTACGCGCTTCTTGAACTTGCTTTGGATCCTTATCCGGTATAGCTTGAGTACAAGTTCGCATTGCGTTATACATTGCGTTGTATATATTTTTGTTGGAAAGTTTTGCAAACTTAAACATTGTGACTAGAGTAAAAATTTACTTGCATTAATAATTAAAATAATTTTTTTTGGTATTAAACTTACTTTTTACTTGCGCTTAATTATGTTAAATAAAAATTTAATTTAATTAAATATCAATTTACGACAGGTTGGTTAGTTCTCTTCTCCAGAATTATTTCAAAGGCAAAATTTCAGTATTCCATTATCTCTGAAAATTGACTTAATTAGTAGTAGATATTTCTTTGTCATAATTTGTTATGTTTTTATTTGATTGTATATAGCCTGCTTTGTTGTGCATATATTGAATAATCCACTATATATAAAATTCTCAATATCTTCTACAGCAATTTATGTTTGCACAATAGTGTATATCATATATACATTAAAATTCAGTATAATTGTTTAATTCAAATATATGAACCAGATTTTAGCACGTAAATAAGAATTCTGGTTTTTATAGAATTATATATATTAGAAATATTATCTTTTATAAAATAATATAATATATAATAATAATATGATAATATTACAATAATATGTATAATAATATATAATATAATATTTATATTCCTGATAAAGTCTATTGTGATCGAAATAGCAGATCAACTGATAGTATTAATTTTACAGAATAATTCTCTGAGGAATGAATTTCTTTATAATGGTAAATAGATATAATGGTAAATTAGATAATGGTAAATTTAATATTTCAAAAATAAAGTTATGATTTCAAGAAAGGAAACTTTGAGTAAAATTTAGCTATAAGTTATTTGTTTATATATGAACACTGAATAAGTAGCATATTATATCTATAGCATGCCTGTAATGCTATTTTAGTACTTTTAGTACCTTAAGTACTTCACAAGTATTATATTAGATCTGTTCCACGAGCTACTCGTAGAAACTTTGAGTAATACTGTTTATACACAAGTACGTTCCACCAGCAAATTGGCATGTAAATTTTACTTGTGTTTTACTTAAGTTTTACTGCGAGTAGCTCGTGGAACATACCTATTGTATTAGCTGATCTGTATTAGCTGGAATGAAAAGGCTTTACAAAACAGTCAAATCTTACAAAACAGTTTAGCGATGAGCATATCACTAGAATGCTATTCTTTTGTATTTTGTAAGCTGAATTGAGCTTGGATAGGGCTATATTAACTATTAATATATTCGTAAAACAAGTATAAAAACAATTAGACTACATATAAACAGTACATATTTTGTTTTATTAAAGCGACGAATAGTAGCAGACAAGTCCTTATACCGGGCTGACATCCGAGATTCTTGGTGTCTTCAAACTTGTCTCTATGTGTTTGAACTATATGAATGTATTTTTAAATATGTTCGATTTGTGAATTCAGGCACATCAAGCCTGATTGGATAGAAATGCTTAATATTGCGATGAAGTTCTTAAACAAACAATTATGAAAATAGGTATTATATATGTTTTTTGATTTTAAAATGAGCTAGTAATTATTATAAAATTGATGTACATAGTTAAAGAGAAGAGTATTTGTGTTACGCTTTCAGTTTGTACTTTACTTGTGTGTTACTTGAATTTTACTACAAGTAGCTCGTGGAACAGACTACTGATTGCAATATTGAGTGAAATTTCCAATGAAGATTCACAATAGTTTGCTTATTCCTTTACTCGTACCTTTTATTTCAAGTAAAATTTGTGTTGATGTTTGAATCAGCTGTTTTGGTTTGAATTTAAGTTTTTGTATTGTTTGCACTTTCCTTGTGTTTTACTTGAGTTTTACTTGAGTTTTACTTGAGTTTTACTTGAGTTTTACTATGAGTAGCTTATGGAACGGACTTATGATTGCAATATTCATTGAAATATCTAATGAAGATTCACAACAGTTTGCTTACTGCGTTGGTAAAACTTTTTTCTTTACTGGCCGAGATAAAAAAAATAGTGTTGTTGTTTTGCGTACATTTCGGCCAGTATAGGCTAGCAACTTATTGTTTTTTGCTATAATTGCGAGTCATCGAAAACGCCTTCTGAAGATTTTTAAGAGTATTGCTGTTGTTTTATATGTTTTCTTTCGTAAGTTGAGAGTATTTTTTTTGCTATATTGAATAAAAAAATTATCGCTGATATCCCAGAAACCAATACGAATAATATTTTATCACTTTACTAAGTTTCCAATTTAACGAGCATATTTGTGCACACCAAACGTTACAGTCCTATTTTTGTTTAGTACTTTTATTATTGTGTGATATCACACAAACTACGTTTAAACTACGTCTGCTCTATGCCATTTCATCAGATAAATATTTTTGATTTGAAATAAAAATTATTTTGAAACAAACAAAAATAAAACATTTTGTTACACATTTCATTTAATAAAATTTGTTAATTTTGCTAATATTTACAACCTTCAAATAATAAAAAAAAATTTTGTTTTATAACATTTTTATTAAATTTAGCAGGAAATGAAACAAAATACCGAACAAATGAAAAATATGTAAAACAAAGTAGTTCACTATTAAAAGCAGAATAAAAGTACATTAAAAGGACATAAAAACCCACTTAAGTACCTATAAAAGCAATTTTAAATTAAACCGATTACAGCTCAAATAAAAAAGTTACTGCTTTTGTTTGCCAAAAAGTGTACAAAAGTCAATGAATTTAAATTACTTTGTACCACCGCGGGGCAATCAAATAACAAGAACGCAAAAAAGGCAAAAGACAAAATTTAAATGCAAAACAAATAAACACAAAATTTTAAAAATATCGTCAACAACAATTAAGTCAAAAAAAAAAAATAATAAAAAAAAATGCAGGATAAACAAAAAAAAAATGTAAACAAAAAAAAAATGTAAACAAAAAAAAAAAATGCAAAAAAGGCAAAAGACAAGACTTAAATGCAAAACAAAAAAAAAAAAAAAAAAAAAAAAAAAAAAAAAAAAAAAAAAAAAAATTCGGGGTATCAAAAAAAAAATTTAAACAAAAAAAAAATTCAGGATATCCAAAAAAAAAAAATGTCCTACCAAAAGTATTGTTTGTGCATAGAAGTCACTAAATAAAAACATTTAACAATTTTTCGAATATATGAAGTTGGACTTGACTGCATTTCGAAAACCGTGCTTGCGCAAAAAATCTGCCTTGAAATGAGCAAATACTTTAACTGGCACGATTGGTAATATTTCTGACAAAAATATTTAAATTGCAAAACAAAAAAAGGACTTACTTGCTTTGCTGTCCTTGTTGGAGCAGAGTCTTCCCATCTTGTTCCTAACCAAAACTTTTGAACTTTTTAACATTTGTCATTTGCAATGTAATTCAAAACGTATCTGAAATTTGCTAAACAATCTTTTTATCTGCTTGATATGCATAACACAGAAACTCTGCCACAATATGATAACGACATCACAATAAAAACATTGCAAAAATATGCTAAAAGGAATTAAAAATATTGAGAGCAGAAGTAACCTTAACCCGGAAGGCTGAAGTGTTGTACACTCGTACCCTTAATATTTTTTTTGACAAAAAAAAAAAAAAAATAACCATTATAAAAAAAAATATCTAAATTTAGTTTTATAGGTAAAAGCATTTTTTTTATTTCATTTATTTTATTTGTTTTATCATTTTCATTTTTGTTTGTTTTGTTTGTTTATTTGGTATTCGTATCCTCTCGTGGGAATACGAGAATCACTATTTATATTTTGAGCTAATAATAAAGAAATACTAATTTGTCATTGAAAATTACTTTATTGTGTCTCGAAGTATACTCCATACTTCGAACCATTTGTTAAACAGTGACTGCATAGGGTATAACACATGTGACTTCAATAGTACTGTATTGCTATACTATAACGTCGGAAACAGAAGATGGTTTAAATAGTAACCTAACGTTTCTGACGCACTGAATGCTTCAACAGTGAACAGAGAAGGGCTTAAAAGCATCTTTCAACAAGGACTTAAAAGCATCGAAAGTCTAAGTCAGTGCGGAACTTTAATCCGCTAAAAACATGTGCTCAAAGTCCGTACGGAAAGTCCCTCCTGAAACTACCGTAAACTATTACATCAGAAAACGTCCTAAGCATTAGCTCAAATCGTTAGTTATGTCGCTTGAGTTTGTAATTGTCCAATTCTAGTTTGAGTTATGATATTCGTAGTAGCGATCGATATCATTCGCGAGTTTATCAACTTCAAAATTAAATTCACCGTCTTTACTCATCTCTGCTCTGGCTTCGTTGAAACGTGGGCAAGATAAGAGAATGTGGTTTGCATCCTTTACAATCTCTTCTCAGCTAGGACAAAACAGAAGGGAAATCCCTGTTGACTGCAATCTGTTATACAAAACACGTAGCTTTAACAGTCACGTGTGTCTGTATTATATCATGTCGAATGCACTGTGTTTCAGTTGTGATCAGTTCAGTTGTGGGAAGCGACATGGTCTGATCAAACAAATTTTCTTGAGAGAACCTTGTTGACGGATGAGTAAGTTCCAGCTATAAACGAATCAAAAAAAAGTATTTATTACAAGTGGCGTTTTTTCCAATCTTCTTCAAACACCTCCAAAACACGGTTTTTAAATGCAATAACGGCTTCGGTGTTGCTTTTATATACAAAAATCATTGTCCACGCAACGATTGGGTGCCAAATCAGGACCGAAACTAGTACGGCAGATGATCCATCAATTCATCGATTTTTTGAATGTTCAAATAGTCCGTTGTTAGACTGTCAGATGAAATGTGTAGATGTGTGATCACTTGCATTGTCTTGATGAAGATGAAGATTGATCCCACGGCGCTTGTTTGCTTTCCGTACTTGTCTAAAGACTACCGGTAAACAAATGTTCTTGTTGTATACTATTCAGAATTGAACGTTTTATGATCCCGTAATGGTATAGCTGTTTTTACGATATAGATCAGTTTTCCCGAAAAAGGACTTACTTCAACCATTTGTTTCGAAGTGCTTCGAGCGCGAACAATTTTTGTTGGATTTGGTTCATCTTGAAACTACTGTTTATGTTTCGGCTCATACGCATATATTCATAATTCGTCACTGTCATCTGTTACAATCTTATACTCATATACGTCTTTTGAAGCACCGCACCACTATCGTACTTCTTGAACATTTGTTCTCTAAATTATTATTGCGATGATAACTTAAAGTGCGCGTTTATCCACGGAATTACATAAGAGCGGCAGGGTTGTGATGACAGTTCATTAGCTAATCTGTAGAATATGGTTAGCTAAAAGCATGCCCAACAATAAGAATGCCAGTATTCTTTGTCTTGTTCCGAAAAGTGGTGGCCAGAAATGGGCACTGTGACAAATTCAGGGAAAAAGCCACAAATAAATAATCAACACGCACCATCTTTTTGTCGAGCATAAAATTGTTTTAAAAAATTTTAAAAGCAATTGCGTTTCGGTCGATATTTCAGATATTTCAGGAATCTCTTCAAAGCAAGTACGTCTCTGCAAAACTATGTTGAGCGTTACTCATAGGCTCTTCCAGTTAAAGTCGAAATCCTACTATCTTAATTATTTGACTCTTGTGGTTATAAATGAATGGTGTTGAAATATTTAAATTAAAATTAAATTAAAAATAAGTTACAACAATGCTAGCAACTAATTTTATATATATTTTCTTCTAAAAAAAAACAATCTACCATAAATGAATTTGAAATTTATTGAAATTCTCAAATGCATTTTATAAGATATATATAGATGTTATTAAGAAATATTTTAGTTAAATATTAGTAAATTTTATTGAGGTTTACATTGATTGCTCAATAATAGGTTGGCACCAAGAGTTGCAGCATCGAAGGCAGTAGCAGCATCACCTCCAGCATCACCTCCAGCAGCACCCCCTTCATCAGAATCTGACTCATCTTCATTACATGCACATGGATCAACTTCAGGCAGTTCACCGGTGAAGTATAAAACTGCCCTAGGTATAATACGTGAACGAAACACTAGTCCCAAATCATAATCAACGTTTAAGGCCTCTTTCATATCTTTATCTATAGATTCTGTATTTTGTTCCAGCGGTGGGTTAAAGAAATGGAAAAAGGACCGACGTGGAACAGTTTTAAATATTATTTTATTGGCATCGTCTTTAGAGATTTTGTTTACTGTTTCTAACGTTAGATTCATATCTTTCTTCCAGTGGATAAGACAACCTTCACTCTTCCAAATTATTGGCCCATCATATTGGAACGGTATTTTTTTATTAGGCTCGATATTAAAGAAGTATTTCTTTGTAAGAACCTCATCAGTGAAATAATCATTGCGTTCAAAATTGAATTCAATAGTAAAAGAGTTTCCTTCACCGCATTTTTCTCTAACATCGATCAGTTTTCGCAAGATTGGTACGTCATGGTCCTGTACCAAATGACCAACCACATCCACACTGCGCAACACCTCTAACCAAAAACTAGGAATGCCGATGGAGTCATTTGTTAGGTTCTTGTAGTCATTAAATGCTTGATCATGGTCATGGTCGCCTTTTGCATTTTCATCACAAGGGGGTTCCTTCCATTTTGGGTCTTGCTCTGGTGGATCATATTTACCAGAAACTATTTCAAATCTCTGATCATAAAACTTTTGAAACTTGGCAACGTACTTTACCTCCAAGTTATTAATTTCCTTGTAGAATTCAGAATCAATCGCAATTTGTTCTAACTGAATATTCTTCAAAACCGTTATACGGTCTTTTATTGATTGCGGGAAGCTTTTCACCATCTCATGAAGAAAATGACGACGTTCAGCAGGGTCTAAGAGTGCGGGTTGAAACTTTCTGACCTTTTTATCAGCCTTTTCATCAGTGAAAGTGGATGCTTCACTACTTGAACCACTTTCAGTGGATGATTTGACCACATTGTCTGAAATAAAAAGAAATTTATTTTTTTAATACGAAATCGAATCATAAGAAGAAAATCCATGACTCTTAAAGAAACCAATTTTGCGACTAAAAAAATATACACACTTTACTATAATAAAATATTTCATAACACATAAAACCGGGATTAGTAAAAATTTTAAAAACTAATCAATTACATGTAAATCATAAATTTTTTGAAGAGTTTTAGCACATTCAATCATATATATGGTACACTAACCAGCCAACCCGGTAGTATCACAAAAGTTCAAATGTACCTTGATGCCGCCCCTTATATATAATATAACCTCAAAAATACTCACATATCTCTATCTCTCATCACACAACATTGAAAAAAATATTTACTCACCCATATTTGAGTTTGAGGAATCTGCCATGATAAAATTCACAATATCCGCCGTAAAGAAAGAAACTCACGTAAGAAACTCAGGTGTATTACAGCAATAGAACTATGAAGACGAATGTATGTTAGTTGTTAACTTGATATCGACAACTGAAGAAAACTTTTTATTTTCATTTCTAACTAATTTTGACACAATCTCGTATGCTTGTCAAATATGTATTAAAAATTATCTTTATGGATATTCTAGGTAAATTGATAATTACCTGAGTTCACAACAGGTGGCAACGTCAGAACAAAGTCAATTATATTTTGTATATTTGGCAAGTTCTACGATAGCTGTGAAAGTTTCCACTTTATCTAATGTTTAATCAGCTATTTTCAAAAAATTGAAATAGTGTACCTTGGTGAATGTCACAATCAAATTGGAAATAGATTCTGTTGACGACAACCTTGCACCATCGTTAACAACGGTAAAATATTGGAAAGTTCAATTTAAATCGTTTGAATGCTGAACTCGGTATGTCGAGCTAAAAGGAGACTGTATTGATTTATTTATCAATCCATGTAGTATGTATCAGAAATGTTGAAATTCAGTATGGCCACAATTTCTGGGGCACTGTGATTTGGGACAGGTTTTAAAATTGATTATTGTAAATAATTCTTTCACTGCATTATGTATCAATATAACTAAATTTTTGATACATCGAGCTTTAAAGCAAAATTTTTTTGTATAAGCGCAGCCTTTTCAAACTCTAGTAGGTTTAAAGTATCAAGCTTGGATTGGTAGAATAGGCATGAGGTCAGTACAGTGATCTTAATTTTCCGTTCTTTTGCAATTTGGAATCCGAAGATAGCATACTAATTTAGTATTTCGGAAATGTGTGTACTGTTAGTGACATGATTATATTTCTACAGGTTAGCATGTTTCCTTTTTAGTTCTAGGGAAGCTAGAGCAGTAACCTTAAAATTTTGCGATTTATATAAAGTGACCTACCATAACCTAAACCATAATCAACTTTTAGCTGTACTCTTTAGGTAATAGGTTACCTGATAAAACATTTTGGACTGCCTTATTTATATAGTAAACTTGAACTGTCTGACTCGACAAATATTGCAGTTACTAGAATATAGATGAGTGTCACATTTTACTTAATTGCTTAGCTTTACCCTACATTAGAAAGTGCATACTGAAGCAAGAATTGCAGAAAAGAATGACAGATGACATTTCTTATAATAGGCCTTTTTTTTGTAAGCATATTGCAAAAGGACAAATAAAATAAACATTATTTTGATGGCAATTCTGGACCAAATGCAAATTTTGTTAGGCTTATATATACAAAACACGTAATACAACTTAAAGTTAAAATTTCAAAAAAAAAACATAAAAAATTTTTCTAATTATTTTTTTTTACATGATTGTGAATAAAATATGAATTTTTATGCCTTTTAACAGTAAAATAATAAATAGACAAAGTGACGAATTTGTTACGAACAATGACGACATGAAATACGAATATGAAGTCATTCATATACATTCGTATGAAATACGAAATCATTCGTTGACAGTTAACTGGAAAATTCGTAGGAACTTCCAAGAGTCGTTCACAATAGACGACTGTATAGTCTTGGTAACCCTGCGATTTGAGTTGCTTATTAGTTAAACGGTTTCCAAATGTTTATACTAAATAAGCTAGCAGTATTTGTTTCATATGTTAGTTTTAAAATAAGCGCTTGTTCTTTTGTGGTATGCTTACAAAAGAAATGCCCTAATGTCAACTGAATTTGATATTAAAATAGAGAAGAAAGATATTGAGAAAGACACAGACATAATACTTATTATGATCGCATATTCAATTTCCAAGCTCTTTAAATAATTGGGAATTAAATATTTTGAATTCAATGCTTTCCTTCCAGGCAACTTTAAATATTTATTTCGTTTTGTCGTTTGATATCCTTATAAAGTAATTCCCTGAAAAGGTTGTGTGACATTTCGGTAGCTTAATTTCAAAAGCACGCATAGCAACACACTTCAGGTTTCTATTTTAGATACTACATACTTTTTCATATTTGTATCTTATTTGTATTGTTTCATAACAAGCAATTTATTATCATAAATTATTATAAAATTATTGAAATTTATGCTACAATGATATTTTCATTTTAATTTTTGCATGAGCCTTTGTATTTATATTCCTAGTATAAGTAACCACGAATCTATCAAATTTATGTTTTGGCGTGCCTGCTCCATGTGCCTGCACTCTCTACAGGTTTGTGTGTGGATCCGGGTACGTTCATGCATGAGTATTGTATTTCCAAAATTTTCCGATATTATTTCAGGCATGAGCTGTTTTTTATAAACAATTTTTTTGTTTTTGTATATATTTTTTTATTCAACTTTTTCGTTTTTTTTGCTATAATGAACAACATTTTTAACCAAAATAGCAAGGACCTACAAAAACAAGATACCACATATAATGACAATAACAGCAAATTTTGCTGTGGTGTTATGGCATTAATAATGTCAATAATATTTCATGAGTGTAGTGGCATTTTAATAGGCTGCAATTACGCATGAAATTGCAAAATACTGGGAAGGAAAACGAAAAAAAAAAAAATAAAAAATAGAAAAATTAAATAGAAAAGTCTCGAGTATAGGGGAGAATTCAAGGAAACGCATTTGTTCTCGTCTAAGTGGCAAATTTTCATAACCTATGTCCTCGAAGGAGCAGCAGCCGTCTGCAGTCTCTTCCATATTATTTACTACAGAAGAGATTTTCTACCAGAATTGTGCAGAATTTTCTTTTTTTAATACAAGTTGATTTTGGTAGATGAAGAAGTCAGACTTTATTTTTCATTGATTTTTAAGCATAAGACAAAAATTTTATTTAATTGTACTACAGTAGACAAGACGTTACGAGTATAGAAAGGTCGTGTTTTACAAAGAAAATATATTTAAACATAAAAAAACTCCAGCCAATAATTTTATGTTGAGATTTTTTTACTTAAAACAAACTTTCTTTTTATTGCTTAGTTCAACAAATAATAAAATAATATAAGCACTGGAGAGAGTATTATAAAGAAATTGTACACGATAATCATTTTCAACGAAGTTAACTTCAATACCCTGTATATTTCAGATATGACTAAATCTGTGAACTTACATTTTATATCATTTTTAATTAAATTGATTTTTAACGTAAGTTTTGACGAACGTAACTAAATTCTTAATATAAACAAATGTTTTCAATAGAAAGGTTCTTATTGAAAGGTAACGATTTTGCAATATTATTGCGTCTAGCTCCTTGCTTACGTCAACGACATTGACATCACTGGACGTAGCAAGCGTTATGTTATAGCTGTCTTTGCTGCTATTGAAAAGAAATCTGCAAGTATGAACTTAGCGGTGAGTGAGGGCAAAACCGAAGTACATGCTACTTCTACTGCTAGAAAAGTACATCGCTCGGACGCCGAGCTAGTGACTGAAAACAATACTTTGAAATCTGTCAAGGATTTCAACAATCTTACCTCCGTCATGACAAATAATAACCCTGTCAACCTGGAGATCAGACGAAGAAACACCATTGCTAATAAGCGCGACTGTGGGCTGAGTACGCAATTAGGATGTAGAGCTCTCTCTCTCTCTCTCTCTCTCTTGACAAACAAAACTTACGCTCTATAGGTTGCTCATCCTTCCTGTGCCTCTGTATGTGACGAACCCTATCACAGAATGATAAAGCAGCACTGGGAGTATTAAAAAGAAAAGTTATTCATACAATCTTTAGTGCTCCATGAGTTGGTGACGATTATCGCATTCGAATGAACCACGAGCTGTATGAACTCTATTAGAGCATTGATATAATTCAGCGAAATAACAAACAGCCTTTTCGCTGACTTGATCATGTCGTGAGGATATATGAAAATGCTCCAACGGAAAAGGTATTTAAAGCGGTTGTTGGAAGAAAAAGACGTAGAGATAGACAGTGTCTCCCGTAGAGTTATCAAGTTGAGAGTAACCGGGCCTGATGTACGACACTGAATAAAGTGCACACGTACCAAAGGCATCTAGAGCGACATGCTACGTCAGGCCGAAATGCGGTAGTGGGTTGGTTATATCAAAACAACTTTTTGGTTTGGTTTTTTTTTGTTTTTTTAGTACCCCAACACCCTCCAATCAGTACCTTAGCAGATTTTAAAGTCTTCCAGTTCATAATCATGCACTTTTCCAAAAAATGTGGTTCGTTTAACATTGGTCGATGTTAAACGTTATCCTAACTAATTGCCGTCACGATTGCCGACGGTTCACAAACCCCACCAAACATTGTATTTTTTGGGATGTGTTGGTAGTTGAGGGATCAAAATTCGATGAACTCATAACAAATATAACAAATTTGCTCTCAAATGGAGCATCCGGAGTAAAAATTATTATTTTTGTTAAACAAAACACTTTGATTAAAAAAAATATGTCAATTTTTATTTAAAATTAAATAGGTGATTACCATTCACAAATATCATGACACAGATGACGATCATGTAGCTGGAGTTCATCACCCAATTGAATCTTGCATGGTGCTGACGTAGCAGTAAAATACAATGCTGTGAGTTTCTATATCCACATCAATTTAAGAAATCCTCTTCGAAAAATATTTTGCTTCATTCGAACGATTGAGTGCCTTCCCCTTGGACAGGGTCATTAGCGCAAACGATCTACTAAGGTTGCAGTGATTCGTTCCTTTGGGAGCCTTTGGGAAAAAACAAATTATATAGTAATAAAAATATTAACGAGTTAATATAAAAATATTAACGAGTTAAAATAAAAATATCAACGAGTTAATATTTTTATTTAAAAATTAATATAGACATTAAAATTATCTCTATCAATTATATAGATACAGTGCATATAGTATTCTTATTAGTTATATTCTTTTTTATACAATTACGGAAGAGTTCCTATTGTACTATTTGTATAGATGAATAAAGATCCTGTCATAAAATTATATTAAAATCATGTCAGTTTACACGTTTTAATATGTTACTGTTATTTAGCACTAACATTATAGTTATCACTTACATTATATACTAACCTCATTCGAAATATAATTGATGCCATAAACCACATAAGTGCTTCTTAAA